GGGGCGCACGCGAGCGGCCGCCGCCGCCGGGGCCGCCGGTCGTCGTGGCGGGCGCGGTCTTGGGCGCCGGAGCCGCGGGCTCCTGCCAGCCTTCACTGCCGTCCTTCTTGTGTGAGGACCACCCCCAAAACCCAAATACAAGCCCTACCTTCTCCCCTCTCCTCCGGTTACGTCCCCACCCTCCCACAATCACACACACACACACACTCACACACTCTCTCTCTCCCCCCCCCCCCCTCTCTCTCTCTCAGGCCCTGGGTGACGAGCTGCGCGCCAAGTACGAGCAGACCAAGGCCGAGGTCCTGCGCATTGGGCGCACCACGGTGGGCGGGCGGGTGGTGGGACGCACAAGACTGTGTGTGTGTGTGTGTAAGAGAGAGAGAGTGTGTGTGTACACACGTGTAGGAAGCAGGGTGAGCCGGGCGCAAGTGAGTTTGATGTCGTGGCCAATCGATGCGCCAGGGTGGGGGACGGGTGCGGCCTGTCGCCCAGGCGGCCTCGCGCGGGCCCGGCCCGACCCCCGGGAAGCTGCCCGTTTTGTCGCACCATCCCTGCCCTCCGCGGGCCGCGGCGCTCTCCGCCTGCCCTCTAGCGCCCCTAACAAAAGCGCCCGACACAGGCCCGCTGACCTCCCCTTGGAGCCGTCCCCACCCACCTGCCCCTGTCAACAACCCAACTACCACCTCCCCTGTCCCCCCCATAACAATCGTCCCTCCCCCTCTGCAGAGCCTGCTCCAGAGCAGCAACGGCCCCAGCCTGGGCAACAGCGGGGCGGAGAACCGCGCGCTGACTCCCCACGCTGACCTGGACGAGAAGATCCGGCTGAGGGACCCCTACGTGGCCCCCCTCAACGTGCTGCAGGTGGGGTGCTCGATTTTTGGGGAAGGAAAGAAAGAGGCACGCGTGTGCGGCAGTCGCTTTCTTGTATGTGTGTGTGTGTGTGTGTGTGTGTGTGTGTGTGTGTGTGTGTGTGTCATCCCCAACCCCCCACCCCAAAACCCAAAGGAACGGCCCTGCACCACTCGCGGTCGACCCCCGGAACAGCAACACAGCTCCTCTCACCCGCCCTCCGCCTCCCCCATGCTGTCCCTGCCCCCGACTCGCCCCTCCTCTTGGACGCGCGCGCGCACTCGTGCGCGCGCGCAGACACACACACACACACACAAACACACACACACACACACACACACAAACACACACACACACACACACACACAAACACACACTCCCAAACACACCACATCTCTCTCATACCTGCACACGCACAAATCCTCAATCTCTCCTCTATACAAACACACAACACTCTTACACACGCACGTGCGCCCCGGTCACCCCCCCCCCCAGGTGCTGGCTCTGCAGAGCCTGCGGTCCTTCCACGAGGGCGGCGCCCTGCCCGACTACGCGCGCGACTACAACCCCTCAAACCCTGAGGTCATCGACCTGCTGTCGCGGTGAGGGATTATCATACTCACTCGAATTTTGTTCCGTGTCATCGCTTCGTCGGGTTGATGCTTGCAGAGCCCCCTCACAAGCACTTGTCGAGGGGTGCTGCGAGGTCGTGACTCGAACCAGTGCCCCAGGCGGGAACATCGGGTTTGGGGCGAAGGGCATATCTTGGGGGGCGCAGTGGCGCGGAGAGCAGGGCCGGCCGCACAGAATGGGACCGCGTGCGACCTGCTCTGCGCCCACAAGCCCCCCCACGCAGCCCGCCCGCCCCCGGCCGCGCCAGAGTGGGCGGGCCGCGCGGGTATGGCTCTGTGCGCTTGTTCCCTCAGGCGTAACCTGTGACTCATGGTTACGCCCCGCGGTGTCCCCCCCCTCCCCAAAGGGACCCCAACCAGAAGAAGGATGAGAAGCACCCCTTCCAGGCCGCCATGGACGACTGCCTGCTCATCTCCATCAAGGGCATCTCAGCGGGCATGCAGAACACCGGATGAGATCACCCCGAGATCCAGGGGCACACGCATCACACGGGGGCCGAGGCGTGGGGGCTGGCAAACGGCATGCTTCACATGCGCTGGGGCGCGGAGGCTGACGGGCGGCATGGACGGCGCGGGAGGAGGCGTGGAACCTCGAGGGGGGGCGCGGCGGCGGGCTCCCGCCCGGCCCCAGGGGCGAGGGGCGTGGGCCGGCCCCTCGCTCGCGCCCCGGCTCGTCCTGTCTGCTCGCCTTCCGCAGAGATCTTGGGGGTGTGGATGGGGGAAAGGTGGAGAAGAAACGGGGTTGCCTCAAGGCCCCCCGCACAGGCTCCTGTTGCTCGGGGATTTGCCACGAATCCGCGGCGCGGCGTGGAGGGGCGGGCGCGCAAGCACCCCAAGAGGTGGCACCGCGCCCGGCTGCCGCGGCTCTGCGTGCACGGAGGGCGTGTGTGGTGTCTGGGGGGTTGTTGGTGGTGAATTCTTTCAGCAGGCCGGCGCTGTCTCCTTAACAGGCGGCCACCGACGGCGGCGCGGCTGAAGGGGGAGGGAGGGCGCTCGGGGCCTTTGCAGGGGCTCAAGCGCGCGCTCCAGTAGCCTGGCTTCCATTGCCCCGCGCACGGCCGCTGCCGGCGGCGCCGCCTCTCGAGCCTCGGCTGCGCGCCCACACTCGTCGCACTCTGCAACCCTGCACTTGTATGAGCCTTGAATCACAAACATTCCACCCGCGCGGGTGAGCGGTCTTTTTTGGGGCAGCTGCCGCCGTATATGAGTCAATAACCTTGGCCCATTCCGACACGGGGGCTCGAACACGCCTGCAGGCGCGCGTGCAGCCGCGTATCCGCGCAATTCTCGCCCCATGTAAACTGTACGATGGAAGGGCGTCGGGCGCGGCGCCCCGCGGCCCTTTGTCAGCGGGCGGCGACCAGCAAGGGCGTGCCGCGGCTCCGGCGCTGCCGGCCGTCCCCGGTGGTAGGCGTGGGCGGGTGCATGCGGCAGGGCGCGGGTGCGGGCGGCCCCGCCGCTTTATCTTGGGTCCCTTGGGGCCGAGCGCGCCCGCGAGCACAGCTGCGTTTGCGTCCGATGGGCAGCAGCGCGGTCTAATTGCAGAGGCGGAAGGAGTGTCAGTTGGCCGCGCACCCACACGACCCCCCCCCCCGCCCCTTGAGTGTTTGCAATAGTCACCTGACAGGGGATGCGGCCGGCTAGCATCAGCAGAGGTCGCTCTCAGTGCGGGCCCCACCAACCTGCCCCCATCCCCATCCCCATCCCCATGGCCAACCCCACCCACGGAGGGCAGGCGGCCGGGCGGGGGCAAGGTGTGTATCAGCCGTGCGACAATCCCTTACCTCTGTAGATTGCCGCACCCCGTGTTGTGGCGCATTGAGACGTTTTGGTTGCGTCAACTGGTGCTGCCCCGGCGCGCCCGTGCGCGCACCTGATCCCGTCCCGCGCCGCTGCGCCCCTGGCAAGCCATGATTGTGCGAGTGTGTCCGCCTACGACGAGCTCCTCATCGCGCTGCGCCATGAACATCATACACCTGCAGCCTGCAAGGATGGTGGTCGTGCGAGCTCAGCCCGGTCGTGGCCGTGCCCAGCCCAAGCCGTCGGACAAGGGTCGCGTTCCTTTTAAGAAGCAGCAGCAAAATCAGAAGCAGAGGGGGGCGGGCAGGCAGGTGGAGGGCAAGGACAACACTGCGGGTGAGGGCGGTGCGGCGCGCGCGACGCGCCCCGCAACACGGTCATGGCAGTCCTGCCCCGCCCTGCGCCCAAGATTACCCTATGCGGTGTCCCAGCTATGCTCGTTGTCGCCGCATGTGCCTCATACTCACCGAAACCCAACAATCCAAATCTCCCATGTGGTGGCACCCGGCGCGCGCCACGGCCGCGGCGCAGCGGTATTGGGTGCCGGCCTCGCCGGCCTCGGCGGCGCCGCCGAGCTCGCTGACCTGGCGGCTGGCGGCGTAACTGCATCTGCTGCCTCTGGCGCCGCCGACGCGATCGCCACCGCCGGCGTCGCCGCC